AAGATTGACTCAGCCTTTCATCCTTCCAAGGGTGGTAAAATGAGGATCCAGATTGTTGGGGACAATATGCTGTCTCTGTAAGCCACTTAGAGAGTGCTATAAAAGCACTATAAAGCAGTAGGTAAGTCTAGGTGCTATTGCTACTGCTATAGCTATTGGTCTTATAATGGTTATTTGCTTTTCAATTGACTCAGTGATGTACTTGCATAAGTACATATGGAAACAGTATCTCAGTATTCAGTCAGTATCCCAATTACGTCGACTGAAGTATTCACATATATGAGTTGTGTGCCTTTTGTAATAAGCATCCAGCATTGACCGTGTACTTGGCAATGCCTCTAGAACAGAGTTTCTTGATACAATGTATAATGAGAGACAAAGGAAGCTCCATATGTTATGAATATCATAAAAAGGTTATCTTTAATCCCTAGGTCACAGTTAAAAGAGTTTGGGAAGATGTTGAGTACCAAACTTATCATATTATTTCTTATAGACTGAGAGATTTAAGAACCCCATTCCCCCAGTTCATTTTTTTGGTTAAATTTATATTATTTTTGTTCAGAAGGTAAAGGTAACATGCGTATTGTTCTCTTCTATTTTTTTTCCATAACAACAATCCTGTGAAGCAGGTTGGGCTGACTGGTTCAAAGCCAAAGTTCTTTCTCATTTTGAAACAAATCTCAATGCCAGAAGGAGCCTGGGACAAATATCAAGGGACTACAAGAAACTAGGCAGGAAAGCAAAACCATTTGGAGTAAAGATTATGTTTCCATCCATAAATTCATCTAAAGGTTTTAGCCTAAAGAAGGAATGAAAGATTCTAGATGTGAACTGCTGCTTGAAGAACATTATCATCATAAAAAGGTGAACCATCTACAGGAAGCCATGCGCCTTGCAAAGACTGGGAAGCTTTAATTTAAGCTTGGAGGAGGGAGGTCTACAGGAAGACATGATACTTGAAGGCTGTCACAGGAAGGAGAATGTGAATTTATTCTTCTTAGTGCCTGAAGGTGGGTCAAGAATCAGTGAGTGGAAGTTTTACTAGTTTGGAATAAATATGTTGGCAATTCAAACTGGAAATAAGGAATTTCCTGATCACCTGACTCCTGGAATCCAGGAGTGTTCTATCCCTCAAGGTTTTCAAAGAAAGGTTGGACAGCTATTTATCTGGAATAGTCTTGAGGATTCCTGGCCTAGGCTGTAGGTTGAACAAGATGATTTCCAAAAAGTCATGTAGTATGACTTTTGATTGAGTGTCGATTTGAATCTCCTTGGGAGATTTTAACCACCATAACCTACGCTGCCTTGATAGGATGAGGACATTGATTTATTAATTCATAGAACTTATGTG